AAGAAAAAAGCCGGAAGTGGCGCTGTGGCTCAAGTGGTAGAGTGCTAGCCTTGAGCTGAAGAGCTGAGGGACAGCGCCCAGGCCCAGAGTTCAGACCCCACGACCGGAACCCCCCCCCAAAAAATTGACAAGTGCTAAGTTTTGGATAAAAATGATCGAGTAGAGGGGCTGGGAAGGTGGCTCAGTGGTAGAGCACTTGCCTTGCATGCCCAAGGCCCTGGGTTCGATTCCTTAGCACCACATAAGCAAAAAGAAAAAAGCCGGAAGTGGTGCTGTGGCTCAACTGGTAGAGCGCTAGCCTTGAGCTGAAAAGCTGAGGGACAGCGCCCAGGCCCAGAGTTCAGGCCCCACAACCAGACCAAAAAAAAAAAAAAAATTATCAAGTATAAAAATTATTAAGCATAGTCTGTAACTCAAAGGCACACAGATTTAAGCATTCAATGCAGTAAATTTATTCACACTTAGGAATTGTGGCAAGAAAGACATACTTTTTTTTTTCTTTTTAAGAAAGACATACTTTTAACCTGCTGAAATATTAGAAATATTTCTAGTCTTACTGTGTGAAAGTAATACTTTCTAGAAAAATTACAATTAATAATTTTACAATCAGAATATAAGCAGATTTAAACCACAAGTGACCCTTTCCATTTAATGTCTAAGCAGAAACAAATTAAAACAAAACCCATTGATAAAATGTTTATGAGTATCAAACCTACCGGATCTACAGTAGGCAAAACATCTTTCTTCTCTAGGGCATCCACTTCATCTTCATCTGTGCTGTATTCTTCCATTGTTTCACCACTAACAAAGTGGATGACCCTCCTTGGGACTTTCTTCTTTTTTCCTATGACTCCCAGTTCTACATTTTCAAAGCCTCTTTCATTACTCATCTGTATTAATAATAAAAGAATTGGAGTTTTCAAGTGAGATTCTTTCATTATACATACCTGTCTTGTGGCTTTATTTTAGGAACTAAAACAGACAAATCCTGAAACCATTTTTTAAAAATCATATACACAAGAACATCAATAGTATATATGTAGAGTTAATAAAACAAGCAGTATCCATACTCACTTTGCAGTTTAGATCAACAGCTAAGAGTCAAAAATCACACTTAAAGTCCTACCAAAATCTCAATGTTATATGTATGTGAAGACATGCTGGACAGCAACCATTTTAAAGAACAATAATTACAGAAGGATGAGTATAAAATGTCAAAGGAAAATTATCTAATTGTATATATGTAAGATATATAAAATAAAAATATCAGTCTATATCATGAAACCTTCCTAAATATTTGGATTTGAGCTTAGAGAAAGGGAGTTCAAAGCCAGGCTTTGTCATACCTCTAGCTACTCCAGAGGCTGAGATCTGAGGATTATGTTTCAAAGCCAGCCATGGCATGAAAATCCATCTTACCTCCAATTAACCAGAAAAAAAAAAAACATAAGTGGAGCTAGGGTTCAAGTGGTAGAGAGTTAGTCAGCCTTGGGCATGAAAGCTAAGGGATGGGGTTCATGTCCTGAGTTCAAGCCCAATCCTGGCTGGCATGCACGCACGCATGCACACGCGCACACGCACACACACGCGCACGCACACACACACACACACACACACAAAGCAGTCCAGCTTAACTTAAATCTTTCCTTTAACTCAAGAGTCGTAAATTCAAAACATTTTGCAAGCCAAATATAATCCATCTGTAAACCAAATCTGAAAAAGCAGACCATTAGTGTTCTATTCTACAACTTCCAGATATTTTAATCAATAGCTCATAAAATATGAGCAACAAATTTTTTTCATAGTAAAGAAATTTACAGCCAAAGCTGGTGCCGGTGGCTCACGCCTGTAATCCTAGCTACTCAGGAGGCTGAGATCTGAGGATCCAGGTTCAAAGCCAGCCTGGGCAGGAAAGACTGTCGTGAGACTACTATGTCCAATAAACTATTAGAAAACCGGAAGTGGCATTGTACCTCAAGCGGTAGAGCCCTTGCCTTGAGCTGAAGAGCTACGGGATAGTACCCAGGCTCAGAGTTCAAGCCCCATGACTGACAAAAAAAAAAAAAGAGAGAAAGAAAGAAAGAAATTTACAGCCAAGCCCTGGTGGCTCAAGCCTATAATCCTAGCTACTCAAGAAGCTGAGATCTGAGGATCCCAGTTCAAAGCCAGTCCAGGCAGATGAGACCCTTTTTTTGTTGTTGGTGGTGGTCATGGGAACTAAACTCTAGGCCTGGGCGCTGTCCCAGCTCTTCAGATCAAAGCTAGTGCTCTACCACTTGAGCCACAGCGCCACTTCTGGCTTTTTCTGCTTATGTGGTGCTAAGGAATCGAACCCAGGGCCTCATGCATGCAAGGCAAGCGCTCTACCACGGCCACCTTCCCAGGCAGAGCTGAGACTCTTATCTCCAATCAACCACCAGAAAACTAGAAATGTCACTGTGACTCAAAGTGGCAGAATGCTAGCCTTGAGCAAAAGACCTCAGAGATAGCTCCCAGGGCTCGAGTCAAGCCCCATAACCCATACACACACACTAAAAAATAAATTAATTAAATAAAAAACTTTTGAATCTTCTTACTAGATTTCAAAAAAGCACAGTACACATAATGGGTGAAGGGAGATTACCTGAACAGGAACTAACTTTATTGGCTAAAGTGACCTTTTATCCTTTTTGTATTTTGTTGTTGGTTCTATTGTTGGTTTCTAACTTTATGTGTGTGTGTGTGTGTGTGTGTGTAAATTTTTTTTGGTTGGTTGTGGGGCTTGAACTCTGGGCTTGGGCTTGGGCACTATCCCTGCTCTTCAGCTCAAGGCAAGCCCTCTACCACTTGAGCCACAGTGCCACTTCCGGTTTTCTAGTGATTAATTGGCGATAAGAGTCTCACAGACTTTTCTGCCCAAGCTGGGTTTGAACTGTGATCCTCAGATCTCAGCCTCCTCAGTAGCTAGAATTAAAGGTGTGAGCCACCGGCACCCGGGGTTCTAGTAATATGATATACAACCAAAGTATTGTTTATCAAAACAAAGACCAAGAAATAGAAACATATTTTATGGGGATAGGGAGACAGGAGGGCACAGGAATGGAGGAAAGAGGGGTGAGTCATTGTATTCAATATACACTATGTAAAAAAAAAAAATCAATTATGTAATTTTGGAGTAGGAACAGGAGGGGAAAAATGAAGGAAGGGGTGGCATTGTCCAAGAAGCATCGTACTTATAACCTGACTTATGAAATTGTAACCCCTCTGTACAACACCTTAATAATAACAATTTTTAAAAAGAATATATTCATGTACCACTAGAATGATTTAAAAACAAAACTAAAGGTCTGGGAGTGTAGCTCAGTGGTAGAGTGTTTGCCCAGCATGCATGAAGCCCGGTGTTCAGTTCCTCAATACCACAAAAACAGGAAAAAAAATCCTGAAGTGGTGCTGTGGCTCAAGTGGAGAGCACTACCCTTGAGCCAAGGGAGCTCAGAGACAGTACCCAGGCCCTGAGTTCAAGCCCCACATCAAAGAAAAAAAAAAAAAACTAAAGTAAAACAATACTGACTACCTAATTAAAGTCCATGTTGGTAGAAATCTCTAAGATAACCAGAATTCAAAATTTTTTCTTCTATAAGGATTCTTATAATTATGGGAAAACATAATTTAAATCCATGATGGTTGTTCACCACTACAAAAAAGTTCTTTCAACTAGTGTTGCAGACATGAGATAATATTAATAAAGCGGACCATGTTCAGTTACACAAGTATAAAAACATTTTACAGTCGGGCGCCAGTGGCTCATGCCTGTAATCTTAGCTACTCAGGAGGCTGAGATCTGTGGATTGTAGTTCAAAGCCAGCCTGGCCAGGAAAGTCCTTGAGACTCTTATCTCTAATAAACCACCAGAAAACCCTAAGTGGCTCTGTGACTCAAATGGTAGAGCGCTCACCTTGAGCTGAAGAGGTGTGGTACAGCGCCCAGGCCCAGAGTCTAAGCCCCACGACTGACAAAAAGAAAACAAAAAACAAAAACATTTTACAGGGCTGGGAATGTGGTAGATTGCTTGCCTAGCATGCTTGAAGCCATGAGTTCGATTCCTCAGTACTACATAAACAGAAAAGGCCAGAAGTAGGGCTGTGGCTCAAGTGGTAGAGTGCTAGCCTTAAGCAAAAGAAGCTCAGGGATAGCACCCAGGCCCCAAGTTCAAGCCCCAGGAATGGCACCAAAAACATGAAATAAAATAAAAACATTTTACAGTGCTGGGAATAAAACCCAAGGCCTTGTACATGCTAGGCAAGCATTTTACCAGTAAGCACCATGACAGCCTGAAGCTTCACTCTTAGGCACTGTTTTTCATTAATGAATCCTCTAATAACCTTCTCAGAAAACAGTGATTAGGCAGGATTTGAATCCTGGTATAGCCAACCCAAAGAACACTTGCATTGTTCTATTACATACACAGACAGTATTAGAACCAACTATAATGAACTACATTATGAAAACCTTGATAACATAGAATTTTGAAGGGTTAACCTGGGAAAAAAATTCACAGGTTTTTATAGCCTCTCCTGAGAGTTTAAACAAGCTTTTACCAACTGCAGATCAACACGTTTATTGTATCCATGATCAAGCTAGGAACAGTCATTCACTCAGGCTACCTTTCTCCTATAGCTCCCAGATCCCAAGCACTACTTAGAGCCATCCCTACTCAATTTCCTAATGCCTGTGTTTCTTTCTCTTTTCTAATATTCTTTTCTCTTTTCTGCCAGTCCTCGGGCTTGAACTCAGGGTCTAGGCACTGTTCCTGAGCTTCTTTTGCTCAAGATTAGCACATTACCACTTGAGCCACAGCGCCACTTCCAGCTTTTCTGTTTATATGGTACTGAGGAATCGAACCCAGGGCTTCATGCATGCTGAGCAAGTACTCTACCACTAAGTAACATTCCCAGCCCATGACTGTATTTTTTTTTTTTTTTTTGGTCAGTCATGGGGCTTGAACTCTGGGCTTGGGCCCTATCCCTGTGCTCTTCAGCTCCAGGGGAGCGGCTCTACCGCTTAAACCACAGCACCACTTCTGGTTTTCTAGTTTTATTGGAGGTAGTTTTATTGGAGGTAAGAGTCTCACGGACTTTCCTGCCCGGGCTGGCTTTGATCTGCGATCCTAAGATCTCAGCCTCCTGAGTAGCTAGGATTACAGGTGTAAGCCACCAGTGCCCAGCTATGACTGTATTTCTTTTGGGACCAAGACTATGTGTTTTGATCCCAGAATTTCCAATGCAAACCCAGAGCAGCTTGGTTATAGCTGCGCCTTCATACTAACTGGATGTCTCTAATGCCAAGGCAATATCCCCACTCAGTGAACAGTGCATCACCACATCATGCACTGCCCTCTCTGTCAGCCCCAACCCAATCTAGAAGAGCAGAGGCAGCCTGTCACTGCTTCCTCTAGCACTTTCTTTTTTTTTTACTTTTTTTGTCAGTTGTGGGGCCTGGGCTCTTTCCCTCAGCTCTTCAGCTCAAGGCGAGCAGTCTACCACTTGAGCCACAGCGCCACTTCCTCCTCTAGCACTTTCATAGCCTTAATTTTTCCTGTTTCAAAACAAAAATAAATGTCACTACTTTATTTTCCTTATACAAGTTTAACAAAACATTGACTGTCCTAAAGAATGCTAGAGGAGCTGGGAAGGTGGCTCAGTGGTAGAGTGCTTACCTTGCATGCTCGAGGCCCTGGGTTCGATTCCTCAGCCCCACATAAGCAAAAAGAAAAAAGCTGGAAGTGGAATTGTGGCTCAAGTGATAGAGCGCTAGCCTTGAGCTGAAGAGCTGAGGGACAGCGCCCAGGCCCAGCGTTCAGGCTATGACCAGACCCAAAAAAAAAAAAAGAATGCTAGAAAATCTCCATCAACTTTGAGTGTCTATTTCTCTCCAAAAGAATTTTAAAATTCTGTAAAAGGTGGTTGAAATCTAATTATATTTTTCATTCCAATAACCAAACTGGATAAATATAAACAGTATTTCTGTGTATACTCACATTTGTACCTGTGCAGAGAGCTTAAACTCAGGGTCTGGAGGGCTACCCCTAGCTTTTCACTCAAGGTTGGTGTTCTATTACCACTTGAACCACAGCTCCACTTTCAGTTTTCCACGGTTATTTGGAGATAAGAGTCTCACAGAATTTCCTGCTCAGGCAGATTTCCTGCTTTGGCTGGCTTTGAACTGCCTCCTTAGATCACAGGAGATTTAATTCAAGAGACTTTTATTTAAGCATTTTCTTTAAAACTATATTAATTTTGTGTTTATATGCAGGTACTAGGTCTTAAACTCAGAGCCTGGAGCTCTCAGCTTGCTTCCTCATGGCTGGCAATATATCACTTGAGCCAGACCTCCAATTCCAGCTTTTTGTTGGTTAATTGGACTTTTTTTCCAGCTTCTTGAGTAGCTAGGATTATGAGTATAAGCTATGAATGCCCAGCCTAATACTAACTTTGGATGTAGTAAATTTCAAATTTCAGATTTATTGTTTTAGGCAAGGTTTAGCATAGTTTTGGTAAATGCTAGATAGTAAACATCTTAGGCTTTGTAGATCAGATAGTCTGTGTCACAATGAACTCTCCAGAAGCAGCCAGGGAAGAGAAGCCACTTATTTGGACACTACATAATGGATAGGTGTGGCTGTTCCAATAAAACCTTACATAAAATGAATGGCTAGCTGGATTTGGCTCTGGGCCACCAAGAACTAGACAGGCAAAGTAAAAAGCCTTAAAGAAACAATCTCTTTTTTTTTTTTTTTTACCAGTCGTGGGGCCTGAACTCTGGGCCATGGCGCTGTCCCTCAGCTCTTCAGCTCAAGCCTTGAGCTCTACCACTTGAGCCACAGCACCACTTCCAGCTTTTTCTGCTTATGTGGTGCTGAGGAATTGAACCCAGAGCCTCATGCATGCAAGACAAGCACTGTACCACTGAGCCATCTTCCCAGCCCCTAGAGAAACAATCTTGCCAAGGGATTCTAACCTGTGTTTTGGGGAAGTGAGGAGAAATACTACTAGGTAAAATCAAAATAATTTGGTACAAAATTTCCAGCAATTATAAAGAACATTTTATTTTTTTTTTGGCCAGTCTTGGAGCTTTAACTCAGGGCCTGGGCTCTGCCCTGAGTCTCTCTGTGCTCAAGGCTAGCACACTACCACTTGAGCCACAGCACTACTTGCAGCTCTTTCCACTTATGTAGTACTGAAGAACTGAACCCAGGGCTTTATGCATGCTAGGCAAGCACTCTACCTTCTACCACTAAGCCACATTCCCAGCCCCTCAAGAACAGTTTTGCAATTGATTATACAAATTTAATTATCACCAGGAAATTATTTAATATACATCAATTTAATGGATAACAATCCATTAACATTTAACAATGTGTGTGCAGGCACACATGTGCATGCACGTGCCAGTATTAGCGCATGAACTCAGGACCTGAGCACTATCCCTTAGCTTTTTTGCTCAAAGCTGTCACTCTACCACTTGAGCCACAGTTCACTTCCAGCTTTCTTTTGGTTAACTGGAGATTAGAGTCTCAATAGACTTTCTTGTCTGGACTGGTGTAGAACCACAAAGGACAGATCTCAACCTCCTGAGTAGCTCAGATTACAGAAGTAAGCCACCTGCAACTGGCTCATTTAATTACATTTTATGGTTAACTGCACTATGTATCTGCTTAATTCTCAGGACCTGTTTTTTTTTTAAAAAAACTGTTTTTTTATTTGTTTTTTGGTACTGGGGATCGAGCCCAGGATGCTGCCCTTGCCAGGCAAGCTCTCTGCCATTGATCTATATTCCAGCCCTCAGGACCTGTTTTTAATGGTAATTAAAAAAAAAAAAATACTCCCATAACAACCAAGATGTCTTTAAAACATATAGTACTCTTGGAATTTGTTCAGCAATACCTTCACCAACTAGATTGCTAGCAACAAGGGATAAGCAATGCTATATCACATAGCCAACAATTCTGGTACAAAGTTACAATAATACCTCTCTGCTTGCTAGCAGTGGAGCTGGAAATAAATTGATGAGTGGTATGATATTTTAACTGCATTGATAACACTGAGACAAAGTGTGGTTAAAAGTTTATTCAGGCCTGGTGTTGGTGGCTCACACCTGTAATCCTAGCTACTCAAGAGGCTGAGAGCTGAGGATCACTGTACAAAGCCAGCCCACAAAGCCAGCCCAGGCAGGAAAGTCCAGGAGACTCCAATTAATCACCAGAAAACTGGAAGTGGTGTTAGGGCTCAAAGTGGTAGAGCACTAGCCTTGCACAAAAGAGCTCAGGGGCAGAGCCTAGGCTGAGTTCAAGTTCCACAACCAGCAAAAAAAAAAAAAAAAAAGTCTATTCAGAGGCATCTGGATAGGGTGTCACACAACAGATAAGGGATGGCCTGGTTAGAGCCCCAGTTCTAAACATATTCAGTATCCTAACTAACTCCACTTAGGGTTTATCAGTCCTGACAAATTTGGAAAGCAGTGTAGGATAGGCAGCAGTGTGCCACTCCACCCACATCTCCACCTCACTGTATTTCCTCTTCCTTATACTGGGAAAACCCTGGGCATAGATCTGGGGTTTCCAGAGATGTTTCTGTGCAGGAACATAAACATCAAAGCAGAAAGGGTAAATGTTAAAAGTCTGTATAGTATGAGTTTATTTGTGTTTAATTAAGAAAGAAGAGATGGTTTGTGCATTTAAAAAAACTTAGTAAGTGGGTGCAGGTGGCTCACACCTATAATCCTAGCTACTTAGGAGTCTGACATCTGAGGATCATGATTCAAAGCCAGCCAGGTCAGGAAAGTCCATGAAACTCTTCTCTCCAATAAACCACCAGAAAACCGGAAGTGGCGCTGTAGCTCAAGTGGTAGAGTGCTAACCTTGAGCTGAAGAGCTAAGGGACAGTGCTCCCGCCCAGAGTTCACAAGCCCCACAACCAGAAAAAAAAATATATATATACTTTTGGAGAATGAGAATATAAGAAAAGTGCCCTGGGTAGGTTTGTAACCTCTAGTGCCTGTAGCTCACCATTCCAAACAACCCCAACCCGCCCCACACACACTATCCATGGCACCCAAGCCACCAGAAGATAAGGGGCTGGGAAGGTGGCTCAGTGGTAGAGTGCTTGCCTTGCATGCATGAGGCCGTGGGTTCGATTCCTCAGCACCACATAAGCAAAAAGAAAAAAGCTGGAAGTGGCCCTGTGGCTCAAGAGGTAGAGCACTAGCCTTGAGCTGAAGAGCTGAGGGACAGCGCCCAGGCCCAGAGTTCAGGCCCCATGACGGGACCCAAAAAAGAAAAAAGGAGATAAACAAGGGTGCTATCTAGCCATTTATCAATCATCTATCTATCATTGATTTTTTTTCTAAAAGGGCAGTAGGAGTATTCCTGTGTTTTCCTTTTGCTTCTTTAAATGTTTAATTGTTATTTAGTGTTTTATTATTTTTATTGTTTAAGTGTTTGTTTTTATCAAGAGTATGAAAACAACATAATTCCACTAAAACAAAATGCCTGTGAAAACATTTAACTGGTATATCAGAGCAGGGATGTTTACTTATTTTTGCTATTAGATTCAAAGTTGAAGTAGTGATTTAAAAAAAACACAAAACACACATTTCTAGTAACAAAAGGAAAAATCAAACGACAAAGCATACCAAGTCCACAGACTTAAAGGTCTTGAGTGAGTGTACTGGTCAACAACAGGTTTCACCTGAAAATTAAAAGTTCTCAACTAGTGTTGTCTCCTAAATGTCTTGCATATCATCCTCTTCTTCAAATAGAAAAAAAAATCCACATAGAGACTTGCATGTGGAATATACTTAGGATTCCAGGCTTCATTTAAAAAAAAAAAAAGGAAAAGTACTTCATTGAAACTTTCATAATAATTACATGTGTGTTGATATGTTTTTATCCAACGGGCTAAACAGAGACACTATTAAAATGAGTACAACTAGCTTTTACAACGTGGCTACTGACAAAAGTTCCATTTCAATGCTCACAGGGGCGGCTCACACACGGGTCAAACTACCCATGAGCCTCAGTTGCCTAGTGGGTGAAATGGGGGGGCAACGCCCACCCCAAGGGTGAGGAACAGGAAAGCGACTCTCGGCCTGAAGACATTTTTTCAGGCCTGAATTCACATATTCAACCTGGGTGAATAGCAAAAATGCACAAGGAAGAACCAAAGGCAGGAGCTGGCACTAGAGACCACAGATGTGGCGGCAGCCACAGTCACCTGGCTTGCAGCTACTCTAAGGACCGTCCTTAAAGGGCACAAGCCTGTTTTCTCCCGCAGGCAACCAGCGGCTAGGGTATCACTCGTCCTCTCCCCGCCAACTCGAGGCCCCCAGGGTCCGCAGCGCAGCCAGCCAAGGCGTCAGGGGAGCGAGGGACGCCTGGGTGGGCGGAGGCCCGGGTACCACACGGAGGAACCCCAGCGAGCGGCCTGCTCAGAGGAGGGCTGGGCAGACCGACCAGGCAGTCGCGAACCCCGCGCCGAGGCAGCTCCGCCCTCCGGCCTCAGCTCCCCGGGCCCCCACCTACCTGCCGCGCCGAGTCTCCCAACGCCGCCGTGGCTGCGGCTCCCGACGTGGTGACCGCTTCTTCCACACAGCCCGCCGACTCCCGGTCCATCGTCGTCGCTGCCACGGGGCTGCTGGCAAGACACAGGGTAATGGCCGATAAGCCCACTTCCATCCTCCGCCTCCCAGTGTGGGCCCCGCGGCTGGGAAGAGGTACTCACCAGCAGCGCCCGCCCGAGCCGCGCCCGCCGAGTCACGCCGAGCTCCCGCAAGGGGAGGGGCCGGCCTGAGGGGCGGAGCAGCTCCTACCTAGCGCGGGCCCACCGCCCCCCCCCAGGGAGGCGTTACTAGGAGCTCGCGAGGGGCGGGGCCTGGGAACGGGGCGGGACCTTCGATCGCAAGGCTTCCGGCCCAGCTTAAGTCCCGAGCTAGGGAAACCCCGCCCGACCCCGCCCGTGACGTCAGGGTTCCTACCTGTACCTGGAGAGAGGCGTGTGGGTTTCAGAATGAGCTCTTAGGAATCTACATAGGAATCCCCACTTCTGCATTTGTAAAACGAGAGCAGTTGCGCTCTTGTTTCTCTAGTGAAATATGGCTACTGACAAATATAAAAGGTACAGCTACATCCTACTATACGAATAGGAATAACAGTCCCCCCAAAATACTTGAAATAAGAGCCCCAAGAGTGACTTTTGCTTGCAATTGTCTGAAACACTTTAGACTTTTTCTGCATGAAAAATATTCTGCCATCTTGACAAATAGGTGGCATATTTTGTCTGCTTTAGAGCTGTGTGTGTATGCTTGTAAAATGAGGGCGATCCCAGGCTCTTTGCGTTTTGCCACTGTGCAAATTTTTTAAATGATTGAAATTATTGCATGACTTTAACGAACAGCTTGGACTATTTCCAGGTAAATGCCCTTTTATTTTTATTTTTATTTATTTTCTTTTGTCAGTTGTGGGGCCTGAACTTCATTAGCTTAAGGCTAGCACTCTACCACTTGAACCATAGCACCACTTCTGGCTTTTTCTGCTTATGTGTTGCTGCAAACAAAGCAAGCACTCTACCACTGAGCCACCTTCCAAGCCCTAAATGCCTTTTTAATTGTTTAGCATGAAAAATTTCCAAATATGTAGAAACAAAAACAGAATGTATTATTATGTGTGTATATATATATATATTATATATATATATATATATTTTTCCCCCCAGTCTTGGGGCCTGAACTCTGGGCCTGGGCACTGTCCCTCAGCTCTTCAGCTCAAGGCTAGCTCTACCACTTGAGCTACAGCACCACTTCCAGCTTTCTCTGCTTATGTGGTGCTGAGGAATCGAACCCTGAGGCCTCATGCAGGCCAGGCAAACACTCTACCACTAAGTCACCTTCCCAGCTCTCAAAAGGTATTATTTTAGTCATACAAAGTTTCACATACTGGGGGGGGGGGGGGGGGGGGGGGGGGGGTGGGGGGGGGGGGGGGGGGAGGATGGGAAGGGGGGGGATTCATGGGCTTAGTCTCAGGTCCTGGGTGGCGTCCCTGAGCTTTTTTGCTTAAGGCTAGTGCTCTACCAATTTGAGCCATAGTACCATTCCTGGTTTTCTGGTGATTAATGGGAGATAAGTGTCTCATGGTCTTCCCTGCCCCAGCTAGCTTCAAACCGTGATCTTCACATCTCAGCCTTCTGAGTAACCAAGATTACAGGCAGTAGCCACTGGCGCCCGGTTCACATGATACTTTTAACTGTGGGTTTTTTGTTTGTTTGGCTTGGTTTTTTTTTCTTTTCTTTTTTTTTAGAGACATGTTCTGGCTATGTGACCCAGACTACCCTTAATTCCCCATTTGCTTGCTTCTACTTCTGCCTCTTTTTCCTCTCAGAAGGACAGAGATTTATAACTATGCACCACCAAAACTTATTGATGCTTTAAATTTCATTTTAATGTCAGTCAACATTTAGAAATGTTTTCCCAAACTGTATGACCTACTATGTTACACTGTTATTCAACATGGTACCAGAAACCCCAACACTCCATTTATAGCCTTGTGTTCATTTTTCTTCTGTTCTTTTTCCTTACCCTCTTCCTAATATTCTTGTACACTTCCTTTCTTTCTTTCTCTTTTTCTTTCTCTTTTTTCTCTTTTTTTTGTTGGTCATGGGGGTTGAACTCTGGGCCTGGGCACGCTGTCCCTTAGCTCTTCAGCTCAAGGCTCTACTTCTTGAGCCACAGCGCCACTTATGGTTTTCTGAATGGTTTATTGGAGATGAGTCTCACAGACTTTCCTTCCCAGGCTGGCTTTGAGCGGCAATCCTTAGTGCTCAGCCTCCTGAGTAACTAGGAAGACAGGCGTGAGCCACAGGCACCCCGCCTTTCTATGTTTCTTAAATTTACAACAAACTAAAAACCAAAACCAAGCCATGCACCGGTGGCTAATGCTTTTAATCTTAGCTATTCAGGGGACTGAGATCTGAGGATAAAGTTTCAAAGCCAGCCGGAACAGAAAAGTCAGAAAACTACTCAGAAAAAAACAGAAATGGCTATGGCTCAAGTGGTAGAGCACTAGCCTTGAGCCAAAGAAGTTCAGGGGTAATACCCAGGTCCTGAATTCAAGCCCCAGGACTGGTGCACACACACACACACACACACACACACACACACACAAAGTTTCACTACTAAGAACAATCCTTTCAAAATCATTTATACTTTTAAAACTGGTTGAAAATCCATGTTTTATATTCTGGTAATTGAGAGCTTGCTGCTAAAGTAAACAAGTTAGTAATATGAACTAATTCTGTATGGTTGCATAAACAAAGGGCTTAAACAGTCTAAAACACCAAAACCAAACTGCAAGTTGAAAATAAAAATAAAGAGCCAATTGTTAAAAGATTTGATGAATTGGCTTTCATAAACAACAGTTCTATATTATATCTATTCAAAATCTCTGTTACTGACAAGGACTACCAACAATATCTATTATTAAAAATAAATAAATGCATGATTGTTTTCTAAATTGTGAAGTAAAACATTACATTGCGGGGCTGGGAAGTTGGCTCAGTGGTAGAGCGCTTGCCTTGCATGCATGAGGCCCTGGGTTCGATTCCTCAGCACCACATAAGCAAAAAGAAAAAAG